TTCCTCTACTCCCTCGCCCCAAGGCTGTCGACTCTCTCGCCATCTATTCTGACATTTCTGACGACGGCCGTTTCGCCTACTTCACCATCACCCTTGGCAACCACGTCGCTGCTCTTGATATTTCTGACCTCACCAACGTCAAGCGCCTTGATGACCCCGAGGAGACCCAGCCCATCATCGGCCCTCACTATGTCAAGATCAGCCCCGATAAGAAGAACCTGCTCGTCACTGGCTACTTTGTCCAGGCCGGCGACATCTCCATCGTCAACACCCCCGGTGACTACAAGGCTCACTGGATCGACATCAACTACGATGGCAGCCTCAGCTTCAACCGCACCGTCGACTTTGAGAGCATCTTCACCCGCGACCGTGGTGGTGCCCGCCCTCACTCGTCGGTCATCTACGATCTCACTGACCCCGAGAACCCCAAGTACTACTAAGCGGCCTGGCAAGACATGCAAGTACAGCCCACGCTCTCTCATGGGGTGGGTCTCCGCATCCGAGTCTGCGAACAAATAGATGGGGGGATGACGGCGTCAATTTGACTACGGGACATATCATTGACATTCTTTTCAACTAATACTTATATTTTCTATATGTTGTTTGTAGGCTTGGAGTTTTTTTCTTTTTATCTTCTTCTCCACAACATACAAGACTGAGAGAAAAAGAGGGGAGCGAGTAGTCGTTTGCGCATGAGATGATGAAGCTCAAAGATGGATGAACAGAAGGCAAGAGGTTGGATGTCGGGTGTCGGATATGGATTCATTGTATCTATCCTGATTGAAGCACATTCGTTTTTAGCCAGTCTATACACAAGTCGAGGTCGTATCGTCTTATCCAGTCTTTCCCGTGACCGCTCGGTTCCTTTTTGACCCATCAATCCTCCTCTTTTCTGCCTGGCTCAAGTATCTCAGAGCACATGGCTGCTTTTAGGTTCGTTCCTGTTCCTGCCTGGTCATTGGGCTAGAGCAGGCACGCCTCGTGTGCTCGACATCATTGGCGCCTGCCGCTTCCGATTCCAGCACTTACACTTATATGAACATGTCTCGCCGCTGTCCTCGTGCGTCCCAGCTGTCCACCCACCGTTGGCAGTGCAGACATGACATGTGTTCAATCTGAAGATGCTTCGCGGCACAGACTTCGCCGTGATGTTGCGTGACTAGCTGCGATTGAAGCCTGAAAACAACTGCGCCGCTCTCTCTCCCCGAACGAACTGGCCCCGAACAGACCGTGGCATAGAGTCGCCACCGGTGGCAGTATTTGAGGACGATAAGACATTGCGTTACCGTTCTGAGGTGCAGACGCCAGCTTGAACCTCCACATTTTCTCATCGAGAGCGTCCTCGTCCCTTCGCTTTGTTGTCTCCATTTCATCGTCCGTCACCATCACCAAGTCAGCCCCAGAGGCAGTACTCCTGTGCGAGAGGCCGTCACAACGACCTAGTACCATCGCATAACCAAGTAAAGAGGCCGCCAGCAGCAGAGATGGCCGCGATGCTGAGGATACATGGAGACGAGCGTTGCTCACTGCCTGCCGGCTCACTGCCGCCCCCGTACTTCTGCACCTAGTCTTCTCCACTGGTTCTTTTCTGCTATCTGGCCAATTCAGAGGATGAGCGCAGGCGATACAACAATAGCGCTTGGGATAACGGTTCTTTCGACAGAGATCTTACGCCGCTGAACTTTCGACGCGCATCAGACAATAACAGCATTGGTGTGCTGACTTGGTTCCCGACACACAGCACCTCAGTGTTGGGCAATAACACGCTCATCACAGGCGATAACAAGGGCGTCGGTTGAAAGAGGCTGCAACCGGGGCTGCCATTTCTTGTTCAAGTAAGAGCCGGGGCCTTGGAGCCGATGGTGGTCCTTAGCGGACCTGCGAACAATCACATCCACTACATCACGACCCAGGAGGAATACAGGTTTGTGACTCGGTTTTTTTTATTGCAGACGCGGTCGACAATTTCTACTACTACTGATTTCATCAGCATACAAAGGTACGAGGGGGCCTCAACTTTCTATAGCCCAAACACGCTCGTAGCCTACACCGATCGCACAATTCATTTCCTCCCCTACCTCTCAGCAAACCATGATACCCAATCGCCTACGCGAAGACCAGCCCTCTTCCCCCGAACAATAGCAACACTTCCCTTAACTTCATATCGGGCGTTGTACTCGATGTGGCGCCCATCTTTCGCCATTTTGGGGACGTCAAGACTAACGTCCGGACCTCGTACTTCCGCAGGATCACAGTCAATGTGACGTTCGTGGGCGCCAACCAGTGGAACGATCTGCAACTGGAGCGCACTTATGCCGCCGTCGAGAGCGAGCTGCCCTTCTCGAAGATGAGTGGAAGCCATCTAGAGACGATAGTGACTGGAGCCTCATCTTCGAGTGGAAGCGTACCAGCACTATCCTGGGCACGATCGAGGTGACTACCACGTGAGACATGGCCGGCGAGGATGAAGAGGTACCAGTAGGTGTCTACAGGCTTCGGTATTTTGGACATGCGAAGGGCCTCGGTGGAAAGATTGTTGAGTTCGAAGGCACCAGTGGGTGATTCACCGTGCTGGGCATAGCACGGGGCACGTTTTCTGTGCCCAACCCTGAGGCGATTTCATGTTCGGACTAGGGCGCTGGGTACCAAACTTGTCTCTCAATTCCTTCCATCAATTGTGGAAAGGCATTTGACCAGTAGATTTTCGAGGGTTGGGGGAACAATGTCTTCCATCTGATTGTTCCCTATTGTGGCGTTAATGACACCACGGTCCTTCACAAAAGGACGATTCAGACACGGACTGGACAGGGCAGTTGCTCGGAATCCTCCCATTCTTTATCTGTAGTGACAAACTCGCACCGTGAAGATGCTTCCCGCGCACTGCACTGCAATGTAGAGCATTCATAGCTAACCCGGGGACATGCAAAATACTACCGCAAGAACAATCCAACCCAGGAGGTTGAGAACAATACCGTCAGATAAATCACTCGTTTGAAGGAGCACAGAACGAGTAGAAGATAAATGGATTCTAGGCCCGTGTCAGGTGAGGTAGAAATACCCTAACGTACTGCATGTTCCTCTGCCTCAACTGGAGCAGAGACGGGATATCGGATTTGTCAGGGCATCGCCGCATCAAACCACAAGCAGGTCGTCTCTTGCTAGACAACCAGTATAATCATGCTGAATTGGGCGACGCTATTGCTGTGGGCGCTGGGCCTTTACCTTGCATACCTGCCCATCCGCATCATCACGGGCTGCTACGCAACATCTCCGAGGTTAAGAAGACGGGCTTCCATGGTTCTGGCACGTGAGTTTTTGCGTCCCCCGCGCGGCCCGACGACGCGGGAGAATGAACATGTGCTAACGAGAGAAACCCAGCCTTCTCACCGTTTTCGCTCGTCTTCAAGTTCAGCTCGCCGATATGGGCACCGCTCGTCAAACGCCTCCCGCGAGCGTGGTGGGAAAACTGGATCGAGTACGTGCTCCAAACCTGAATACGGCCGCCGAATCTTGTGTGCTAATCCCCGGTGCGGCAGCATCATGCTGGATAACTGGGCTATCAAGTACCACCACCATCCGTTTGCGAAACACGGCGAAACGTTTGCTCTCGTCTCGCCCTTTCAGATCCTCATCATCACCGATAGTGCCGAGGTGATCCACCAAGTCAGCCAGCAGCGGGACAAGTTCCACAAGCTTCTTGAGATCTACGACATTCTGCGGCAATACGGTGATAACCTTCTGTCAACTGAGGGAGCGGCCTGGCGGCGGCACAGGAAGGCCACGTCGCCAGCCTTCACGGAGAAAAATGTCGCTCTCATCTTCCAGGAGGCCGTTGCGCAGAGCCAGAGCATGATCCGCTACTGGACAGTGAACGAAGACGGTACGCCGCGCACAGGCACCATAGAGAGCGTCGACCGAGATACGTGCCGCTTCGCGCTGGGCGTAATTGGCTTCGTCGGCTTCGGCCTCCGCATACTGTGGCCGGGACAGGCCTCGCCCGAACACGCGGATCCCAAGTGGCACAAGTTTGAGAGCCTGGAGGTCCCGGAAGGCTACACCACGAGCTTTTCGGAGTGCCTTGTGGGCAACATGTCGAACATCATGTGGTTGATGCTAGCGCCGCCGTGGGTTCTGAGGCGCCTGCCCTTCGAATGCACCAAACGCGCAGCGGATGCGCGAGAGGACTTTGACAAATACATTGACGAGATGATTCGGAACAAGACGGAAGATGTCATCAAGTTGAACAACGGCGATCCGGGGATGGACCTGCTCGGGCATCTCGTTCGCACCAAGTACGCGCGCGAGGGACCTACGAGAGTCACCAGCAGTGACACTGAAAAGCAGTCTGGGGGCGCTGCACCGGGTCAGCTGAGGCTTGCCCCAGAACCGCTGCTGTCAGACTCGGAAATTATTGGCAACGCTTTTATCATGTTCATCGCCGGCCACGAGACGACAGCGAACGCAACGCACTTCACTGCCGTCCACCTGGCAGCGCGTCCCGCCTCCCAGAGAGCAGTGCAGAGAGACATTGATCACATTTTTGATCGCGACAGTAACCCGGCGAGCTGGAAATATGAAGATTGCATCAATCCCATGAGCGCATCCATGATCGGGGCATCCCTGAACGAGACGCTCCGGCTCATCCCAGCTGCGGGCGAGCTGCCGAAGCGGGTCAACCCCGAGAGGGATGGCATTGTGACCATTCACGGCCAGAGGCACGCTCTGCCAGGGAACGCGCACATACTGGTGGTGTCTCTCGCGGCGCACCGCAACCCGAATCTGTGGCCGACGCAACCGAGTCGCATCACGGCCAAGGAGAACGACTTGGACGACTACATCCCGGAGCGCTGGTTCAGGACTGGTGACGGGTCCGTGCAGTCGGGCGGGACCGAAGGGCAACAGGCCAATATTGCCGAAGACAACGACAGTTTCCGGTTCACCGACACGAGCGAGAAGCTGTTCAGGCCTGCACCGGGAGCGTACACGCCCTTCGGCGATGGCCCCCGAAGCTGCATCGGGCGGCGCATCGCGCAAGCTGAGGTCATGGTGGCCATCTCGGTTCTCTTCCAGAAGTACAGCGTTGAACTGGCCGTGGACGAGTGGGCGACGGACGAGGAGGTCGAGAGGATGGACAGAGCGGCAAGGCGGATGCTATATGCCAAGGCACAGGTACGCTTTCGGGAGCTCATGACCACGCTGGCGTCGTTGATCACTGTGAAGCTGCCTCCAGGATCGCATGTTCCTGTCAGGCTGGTGCCCAGGGGACAGGAGAGGTTTGTGAACATTGTAGATGACGGGACCTGAGTTATGTACCTTTGGTCGGGAACCACCTACCTACCTACCTAGGTAGGCAAGGTAGATGGATAGAACACAATCGAGGTTATTACTATGCCGTGCCAGACATGAAATAGAGTGGATCCCCATACCGTACAGAGTGCACTTGCCAAGGCACTGATATGGAAGGGACTACCACGCTCCTGACCCAGTGAAGGAAGACCAAAGGATCGCGCCTGACGCGCCGCTCCCAAATTGGCGACAGGAGCGACCAAGACCAACATGGCTCTGCCGTCTGGTGACTGCACCGCGTCGTGGCAACAGACGGGACGGGAAGGAGTAGGTGGGAACCCCCCCTGCACGCCTTCCAGGGCACCCACATCCCCGGCAATCCCCCATCGCTTGCCCCATCACGGTTCACCGCACCAACCAAAACAAGACCCCCCCCCGTTAGGGAAAACATAAACAACTCACCCGCAACTGAGAGGACCCCAGCTCCCGAACGCCTTGACACCCCCCCCTCCTCCACACGTCTAGCTTCAGTAACAACATCATCCTCGTTTGCTAGAATCCCCCATCAACAACCTTGTCGTCGGCCTCCCGCAATATCATCAAACGACATCTTTGCAATAGCCACAATCGCTGAAGCGACGCGACTCCTCCGGTACCCAACTTCCACCCATCCGTTGAAGCCCAATGGCCACCATGTCTACATCGAATGCGTGGCTCGCGAGACAGCGCAAAAGCGATCTCGTCGAGCTCGCCGAGCTTGTTAACCTTCAAGGGTACGTCTAGCATCCCGTCTGCCTCGCGCAGAAACCACGAGAGTTCCTTGCCCTCCGGCGTTTGACAGCCTGCGCTTCGCGCTGGGCGTGCTGGAGCGCGCGGCGCATCGCCATCATGTCGACCGGCGCGCGTCCCTGTTGACCCTCCCACCCCGCCCCTAAGGCGTGTTATTTTGCATGTCAGTTGCACTTGACTGACATATTCTCCTTCTCCCAGCTACGAAGGACAGAAGAAGGCCGATTTGGAAGTGACTCTTCGACGAGTTCCTTCGCCCGAGCACGAGGGCAAGTGGGCGACCGAGCCGCGCCTCACCCCCTACTACAACAAGCCGCGCCAGGGCAGCCGGCTCACCCACCAAGCGAGATCTGCCCAAGGATGCCCAAGGATGACGCCGCTGAAGGTTTTTCAGGGCGCCGCCGCGACGCGAGCGGCCTTTGCTGAGCTCCTCCGGCCCGAGTAAGTAACCCCAGACGCAGAGCTCGGACAGCTCGCGCGCCGGCCTCTGCGCCGACCATGATCACATGCAGTCGACCTAACGCGTCGCAGCTCGGAACCCGACGTGGGAGAGCGATCCCGCGAGAGCCCTCGTCGCGCGCACCCCAGCCCCGCGCTCTCGCCCTTGCCAGCCGCATCCCCGCTGCCCGCGACGCCGGCTGAGGTGGCCGAGGTCGTCGATCGCGGTACCGTCGCGGTGCGCGAGCGCGTATCGTCCATCTACCAGGAGTCCGGCATCACGGAGCGCACACTGGCTGTGCGCGAGTCGCTGTCGACGGTCACTGCCATCATCTTCACCATTGCGGCATTTGAGCTCTGGTGCCTCAAGCGCGAGGTGCTGCCCAACGTGTACGCCTTCACGATTCCATCGTTCCCCGCACTGGGCAACAACACCGCAACCGGTGTACGTTACGGACATTTTCCAAATCCTAAC